AGTTCTAAGAGGGAAACCATATACAATGGAATCAGATATATATAGTTTTGGAGTTCTGATGTCTGTAATATCAACTGGTCAACAACCATTCAACAGTTTGGCACATGATGTGGCTCTTCAAGTGAGAATATGTGAAGGTATAAGACCTGCATTTTCAATCAACACTCCAAAATTTTATATTGAATTAGCATACAAATGCATGGATGCTAATCCAGATAATCGCCCAACTGCTAAAGAAATATTTACAATTATTAACAATTGGAAATTTACATTATGGTCATTTGAAGAAATATTTGATAAGATGGACAAGATTTTATTTGATCCTTCAACAATTACTGCAACAATTCATCCAAATGCAATTTATACTAGCAGATTATTAAAATTTACAGACCTTCTTCCTCAACCTGTCAATTCCAATAAAGTAACAATTATTGGTAATCATAAAGGTAACTGTTAATTGATTAATTTAGTAATCTTTAAATCAACATTAATATTATATTAATTCTTGTATATTTTTTTCAGATTCTCAACAGGTTGATTTAGATTTACTAGATATGTTATAGTAATTGTAAATTTGAATTGAATCACCTAATTTTTGGTTTACTTCGTTCAAATTGAGCATGATTTATGCTTTTATTTGAATCAATATATACAGTATTACCTAAGATATAAATAAATTAACCCAATGAATCATAATTTGCTTTGCTTTGATTCAGATCAATATATAGTATCTAATATATATAAATCTTTGATTCATTGAAACGCAATTCTCATATGCATTAATCACATCCTATAAAAAATTATGTTACTGAGTACATTTTGAAAATGGTATGGAGTAAACGTTTTATGTATCTTCCATATTAAAATGGATTTTTCACGCATGGAAGGAGCCTAGACAATAGAAAAAGGACCATAACACGAAAAAAGCAATTTGGCCATTCCTATATGTAATTCTTTACGTAGACATTTCTGATTTAGAAACCGTACCCACTTTGTAATATTTTGAGATATCTGAAATTTTCACATCATTTTCACATTATGGTCCTCGTTTTATTATCACGTGAAATTGTTGAAACATTACAAATGTTGCCTTTTAAGGTTACATTTGAATAGGTGGATGCATTAAATATTCTGATTATAGATTAATATGTTATTATTAAATAATTGGGGCCTGGTCAATGGAATCAAGGGAATGTTTCCCAAAAGTCAAATTTAATATTAATAACATTCCTGTGTAATTAACTCATCGCGAGGAACATTTTAGCTTAGAAACTGCACCCACCTTACATTATATTTTCAATAAATATAAACAACATAATTTTAGTGGCTCGCTCGTTTAAACGATCTCGTTTTAGCTTTAGTTTTTTTTAACATTAATGTGAATAATTGATCGGGATTAATTGATAGCCCCCAAGACCAATTTTGGGGCCCTGACTGATCAACCAATCCATGTGGTTCTTAAGAAAAATTTTATTTAAATTTGATAATAAGGCCCCGCATGAGCCAGCTCGCAAGCCAAATAACTTAGTGGGCTCGCAAGCTGAATAAGTTTTTTGGCTTGCAAGCCAGCTTGTGAGGAGCTTTAGCAATAACTATCATCTTGGCAGAGTTAACCATTGAATATGCAAGTTAACACGGAAAAGTATATGTTTACCTAAATGTTAAAATGATGTTACAATTAATTGGATTCTCTTTTTAAAATAAATAAATAACCTTGACAAATATCACCAAGTTTATAAAGTTGTTTGATTACCCTACTTCATCTGATGGTATTATCATCAATTTAAAATACTTGAAGGCAAAATATTTTATTATACTTAACTACTGCAATGAGGTT